TGTGTTCTAGGTACTGTGAGGACACCTGATAGAAGGTACTGATTGGCCCCAAAGAAACAAGATTTTACTCTTTTTAAAAAAACATACTGGAAGAATTATATCAAAATGGTATGTGACTCGTTGCTAAGTGATGTAGACACTGTTTTGCTCCAATGACAATTAGCCTTTAAGCTCCAAATTTATGAAATGATAGTCTGCCTATAAAATATTTCAGGAAAATAAGTAAACCTATAATTATAGGATGAAATTTCAAATTACATACCGTAGGCAAGTTTGGTATATGTTTATGTTTATATCGTATTATATTCTTTTTCTTTGGGCCTTTTTGTGGCCTTCTGTTATTAATATGTGCTGAACGAGGGAAACTTTGGGATATCATTTGTCAGTTGTTGCTCAAGGCAAGCATTCAAAGTGGAAATACTATCTTAATTGGGGATATAAATATTTAATCAGATGTTTTTCATAATGGCTTCTTAGTCTATCAAGATCATTATAACTGAACAATAGAAAATAAAAAGAAATAAAAGGTATCCATTTTGGAATGGAAGAAGTAAAACTTTCTCTGTTTGCAGATGTCATGATCATATATATAGAAAACCCTAAAAAAAATCCAGACATCCCAAAAAACTATGAGAGCTAATAATTGAGTTCAGCAAGATTGAAGGATACCAGTTCGATATAGAAAAAAATCAATTGTATTTCTATTAATGACATATCAACCCCAAATAAAATTAAGGAGAGTATTTCATTTATAATAGCATCAAAAATAATAAAAGGAATGTAAGACTTGTACACTGAAAACTGCAAAAAATCAATGAAACAAATTAAAGAACTAAATAAGTGGAAAGATATCCTCTGTCATGGATTAATATTATTAAGATGGCAATAGTCCATCTACAGATTCAACACTATGCCTATCAAAATCTCAATTGCCTTTTTTGCAGAAATTGACCAGCTGATCCTAAAATTCATATGGAAATGCAAGGGATCCACAATAGGAAAGCAATCTTGAAAAAGAAGAACAAAGTTAGAGGGACTCATTCTTCCTGACTTCAAAACTTATAACAAAGCAATAGCAATCAAAACTATGGTACTGGCATAAGGATCAATGGAATAGAATTGAAAGTCCAGAAATAAACCTATACATTTGTGGTTAGTGGGTTTCCATTTCACAGTTAAATGGAGAAAGAATAGTCTTTTCAATAAATGGTGCTGGGACAAATGAATATTCACATGTTCACACCATACACAAAATTAACTCAAAATGAATCAAAGACCTAAATGTTAGCACTAAAACTATAAAACTCTTAGAAAACATAAGTGTATATCTTTGTGACCTTAAGTTAGGCAGTATTTCCTTGGATATGACATTAAAAGCACAAGCAACCAAAAGACTCCAAATTGGACTTCATCAAAATTAAAAACTTTTGTGCTTCAATGGACACCACCAAGAAAGTGAAAAGACAACTCATAGAATGAGAGAATATATTTGTAGATCATATATTTGCAAATCTAGACTAAATATAGAACCCTTAAAACTCCACAACAAAAGGACAAATAGCCCATTTTTTAAATGGGCAAAGGATTTGAATCGACATTCCTCTAAAATAAATATACAAATGGCCAATATACAAATGTGCACATGAAATATGCACAACATCAGTAGTCATCAGGGAAATGCAATAGACCCACGGTGCGATACCACTTGACACCCATTAGGATGGCTAAAATTAAAAAACAAACCAGGCAATGGCAAGCAGTGCAGATGTGGAGAAGCTAGAAGTCTCATCTGTTGCTCGGGGAAAAATAAAATGGTGCAGCTCTATTATAAAGAGTTCAAAAAATTAAACATAGAGTGATCGTATGATCCAGAAATTTCACTCCTAGGATATACTCAAGGTGAATCAAAAACATATGTCCACATGAAAAACATGAACACAAATGTTTGTAGCATCATTATTCCTAGTAGCCAAAAAGTGGAAACAATTCAAATGCCCATGGAGTGATGAATATGTAAGCAAAACATGGTCTGTTCATACAATGTAATGTTATTCAGCCGTATGCAGGAATGAAGTATTTACTGATTCATACCACAGCACTGATGAACCTTGAAAACATTGTGCTCAGTGAAAGAAGCCAGACACAAAAGGCCACATATTTTATGATCCCATTTCTATGAGACGTTCAGAATGACATAGGCAAAAACCATACAGAAAGTAGATAAATAGTTTCAAGGGGCCAAAGTAGTGAAGGGAATGAAAGTGACAGCTAATGGGTACAGAGTTTCTTTCAAAGTGATGAAGTGTTCTGGAGTTAGACCGTGGTGATGGTTCACAACTTTGGGACTATACGAAACTGTCCACTTGATTTATTTATTTATTTTTGAAATGCCAGTTTCAATTTATTAGTTCACAGACACATTTATCAGATCCACTGTCAGTCACTTGTGATATTAATTCAATCATGATAAGTAGCAACCAGTTACCTACACAAAAACAGCATCTGAGAAAAGCAACTTGCTAGTAATTTAAGGTGGAAATCCTTTACCTTACTTGATTGCAAAAGTGTAGTTTTGTGTTTTTTTAATTCTTCACCCGAGAATATTTTTCTTTTTATCTTCAGATAGAGTGGAAGGGAGGGAGAGAGGGGAGAGAGAGAGAGAAACATCAACATGAGAGGGACACATCGCCTGGTTGCCTTCACACAGCCAGGGCTGGGGATGAACCGCAGCTGAGGTTTGTGCTCTTGACTGGAATCGAATACACGACTCATTGGTCCGTGGGCCAACGTTCTAACCACTGAGAAACCCTGTCAGGGTGACAAAAGTATAGGTTTTTAAATAATGGAAATCACACAGACATGAAAAATGTGAAAACTATGTGTTAACAGACATGATAGGAGAAGGCAAGAGATCCAGAACATTCAAGAGTGAGAAGGTTTTATTCATTCCATTCATTCACGTATTCATTTCACTTACTGAGCACCTCTGCTAGGAGCTGGGAATGCAAAGATAAAAATAAGGCAGATCCTGCCTTGAAGGAAGCTAGCTCTGTAAAAATATAGCAAGGAAGCCAGTATCTGTGGAATAATCCCATGCATACTACAGAGGCATATGGACAGGATGCCTTGGGAGCAGAGAGGAGGGCCACCAGCTCATTCTGGAGTGAGCTGGGTTCTAGGGACAGGTGGAGGTTAACTAGGCAGAGCGGGGAAAGCAACGAAGGCACAGAGCGCAGTGTGAGTAGAGACAAGAAATGCCAAGTAGTTTGTTGTCACTGAGCCTCTGCCCTTGGTAGGGAGTGAAAACGGGGCGGTAGGAGGTACCAGCTCTTGGGAGCCTTGCATACAATCCTGCGGTCAGAATTTTATTTTGCAGGTGTTGAGGTAGATAATAAAGATTTTTCAAATGTGTCTTTTTTTTATCCTTACCCAAGGACATTTTTGCATTTATCTTCAGATAGAGCAGGAGGGAGAGGGGGAGGAAGAGAGAGAGAGAAAAATCGATGTGAGAGAGACACATCAAGTGGCTGCCACCCACACAACCCCAACTGGGGTGGGGACAAACCGCAACCAAGGTACGTGCCCTTAGCAGGAACGAACCTGGGACTCTCCGGTCCGCAGGCCGACGCTCTAACCGCTGAGCCAAACCAGCCAGGGCCAAATGTGTATTTTTTTAAATGTGTTTTTATTAAATGTTAGAGAGACAGAAACATCTATTGGCTGCCTCCTACACACCCCTACTGGGGATCGAGCCCACAACCCCGGCATGTGCCCTGACAGAATATAAAACTGGTGACCTCTTGGTGGGTGGGTCAATGCTCAACCAGAGCTACACTGGCTGGGCCAAACGTGTATTTTTAATAACAGCTATATTGAAATATTATTTATATACCATAAAATTCACCCTTTTAAAGTATACCATTCAATATTTTTTAGGATATTCACAATTGTGCATCTATTACCTCTAATTTTAGAACATTTTATTACCCCCCAAAGAAAATCCCATATCCATCAGCAGTCACTTCACCATTCCGCCTTCTCCTCAGCCCTGGCAACCACTAATCTTCTGTCTCCGTTAAACTGTCCACTTTAAAAGCTCAGTGGATTGAGTGTCAACCCATGGACTGAGAGGTCCCAGTTCAATTCCTGGTCAGGGCACATGCCCGGGTTGGGGGCTTGATCCCCAGTAGGGGGTGTGCAGGCAGCCAATCAATGGGTGAATTTTATTGCATGTAAATTATGTGTCACCTTTTTAAAGTACTATGTTTTTCCTTAAGCACTCTTTACAGTAAGTTCTAATAAAGCATTGTGCAAGTGTTTCTATCCAGCAGGAGGGTTCGAGGTAGCTTGGAACAGAGAGGGTGGGGAAGGAGAGGCGCCCCCGGGGTGAGCTGTGGGAGGAACTTGGGAAGTTCACGTACAAATCAGAGGTGGAGGCTTCCGAGGTCTAGGGTGTGGAAACAGCCTCCGGAAAATCAGCCTGAACCACAGCAGGTGCACAGGAGGTGAGCAGCCTCAGCCTGCTGTCCGGTGGCTCCTTCCCACGCCCTGGCTGCTGTCATTTTAAGTTAGAACACCTCGGAACTTTTTCTTGTCAATCGACAAGGACACTAGGCTGGGAATGGCGGGGGGGAGGGGAGGTCAGTGGGGAGAAAAAAGGGGGGCATCTGTAATACTTTCAACGATTAAAAAAAAGATTATTATCATTAAAGCACATATTTATATATTTTGTTCTTAAGGGAAAAAAACAAGTACCATGGTCAGCCTTACAGGTGGCATGAGATGTTGCCTGTTTTTGGTATTCGTGTAGATAAGGTGGTGAGTCCAGCTTCTTCCGAGCTCCACTGTGAAGGTGAATGCGAATCCACTGCTTTGGTTCTCTCGCTGAATTCACGCGGACCCTTCTCATTTAGGCCGACCAAACTGGCTGTTCTGACGTTGAAGGAAGAACCCTGAGGGTTTAACCCCAAAGTCTCACATCTGCTCTCGCTCTTTCCCAGGTGCTGCCCTTCCCGAGCCAGGTGGTGTACAACAGAGTGGGCAAGTGTGGCAGTCGCACTGTGGTCTTGCTTCTGAGGATCTTGTCGGAGAAGCATGGATTTAATCTGGTCACGTCAGACATTCACAACAAAACCAGGCTTACTAAAAATGAACAAGTAAGTTGTCTTTGGCCCTGGGTAAACTGTACTTTGCTTCAATTCATTTGTGTAATTAGTGGGTGCCTTATAGGACACCCTTCAAACCCTCGACACAAGCATACCAGAGTTGCAATTTCGTACTGTATTTTGGCCAGAGCGTGGAAGGAAGTTGCAGTCCAGTGTTCTGGGGGAAGTCTTGAAGCCGGGAAGTTTCCGAGAAGGGATACTTTTGTTAGACCGAAGGGCAGTGTGTACTTGTCATTGTCTAGTTAGCTAAAAGTAGCAATGCATAAATCTCAGTTACACCACTGAGCTATAATTAGTGCCGACATCCTGACAGCAAAAGTAAGAAACTTCTATTTTAATATTTCTTCTGTGCTTGTTCACAAGTATCCTAGGAATCTAACCGGACAGAGGCATATGCTTCCTGTTACGATCAGCTCAGGGGATCTTGAGCTTCCAAAGCGGCATTTGGTATATCCAGTGGGAGCAAAAGAATTATCCCATTTTCCAGGGACAGTTCTACCATAATGGGGCTGAGCCGTATAAGTGGACATACTGGCAGTGGGGTCTGGACTCTGTCCAGATGCTGTGCAGACAGACTCTACTTAATAAGTGTGTACAAAAGTAGGGTCAACAGTCACCACTGGGGCACTTTGCTGATTTAGCAGAGTTAGGCCTTGTGCTCTCAAGATCATGTTACAGGGTCACAAAGTTGGTCCTGTGCCCTTAGATACTTAGGATGGATGAGTAGCCACTAACATAATTCAGGGTTTTCTAGAGAACAGAACCGGTAGGATGAAGATACCTGTTGGTTGATCAGTGATCTGCCCTCTGCAGGGTGGAGACCCAGGAAAGCCAGCGGTGTAGTTGAGTTCGAAGACCTGAGAACAGGGAGGCCGATGCTGTGAATCCCAGTTGAAGTAATAGGAGATATCACAGTTGAAACAGTGAGGCAGGGGGAAGGGGGCCACTCCCTCCGTTCTCCACATGTTGTTCTATTGAGGCCTTTCAGAGATTGTGTGATGCCCACCTACATGGGGAGAATAATCTACTTTACTGAGCCCATTGATTCAGATGCTAATCTCATTCAGAAACATCCTCACAGACACATCCAGAAATATTGTTTAATCTGAGTGCCCCTTGGTCAGCCACGTTGACACATAACATTAATCATCACACCATCCAATGAGTATGTAAATTTGGGGAATAAACAAGGCACATGGTTTACTATCAGGTTGACACCATAGTTATGGAAATTTCCACCCATGTCCACTTCTTTCTGTTGTAATCCTTACCTTTGAGGCATTTCAAAACCTCACAGACAAAGGGGATTTATAATGACCTTTATTGCTCTTTTATCATGGGGGATAGTGGGACTGTTTTTTAGACAGTAACATAGCCAAAAGTGCTTTTTATAATCCAGTATATTTAGTGCCTTCCTCGGTATAAAGATCAATTTGCCTATTCTTTTGAAAACTTCCACTGAAGAATCTCTGAGTATCAAGTCCAAAGGGTCATTAGCAATCAACAATAACTATCTTGAGATTATCCCTTGTAAGTTCTGTAGTAGGCTCTCAATAGGAAAATTATATTTGGTGACATTTAAGGATATCACATTTTATGAATAACTTTAATAGGGGTAGGTTCTCAGATTCCCTTGCCTGACTGAAGAGCTACTGTGATGAAGCTGGTCATGTCCTCTTTACTACCTGAGAGAAAGTGACTCAAAATTAATAGCCCAGGTCATTGCAATTTTATTATAATCATTAAATTTATTGTTTCTTTGCATCCTTGGGTGTGTTCATCAGATTCTCCTTAAATATTGCTATGTGTAGAAACACGCCCAGTTCTCAGAAGGTTCATAAAATCCACTAGCTCAATTTTAGTTCCCACGGCCGATCGGGTACAAACAATGCAACAAGGTGACTAAAATATCAGACACTGGGATGTTCAGACATGCCCTAGAAGAGAGAGCACAGAAGAGAACATGAAAATATTCCACGTGATGTTACAGCAATAAGCCTATTCTGTTTCCTCCGAGGAGCCATCTTGAGGAAGTAAAATAGGGTTGCCACTGTCAAAAAATGGGTTCAGATGAAAAATCAACAATCATTTACTAAAAATGTGTACATCGCTACATCTAGAAAAGGGTTAAAGACACAGTCATCTTTGTCCTCTGAAATAGAAGTTTGCTCTCATCTGTTTGGAATGATTGGCTTGTCTGGAAGCCAGGGAATAGACTGGACAATCTCTCAAGGTTCTTTCCAGCCCTGCGAGTCTGTGATATATTTATCCAGCTTCCCGCATAATCTGTGCAGAGTGTAATTGAAACATTTCTGATTCCTGTGGTCAGTGTGACCTAGAATATATTTCATTACTTAGTTACTCCAGATTCCTATTAAATTATAAGGCAAGTTTTTAAAGACTCAAGGGAAAGGCAAAGATATGGTAGGAAAAGCAAATAAGCAATTTGGATGTGGAGGCACCAACAGCGACCGTTCCCTCTGTGCATGGAGCTGGCCGGCGGGACTCGCGGGAGGGCCAGGAAGCGGCAAGACCAGAAACCAAGTTCGAAGTAGTTAAAAAATCTTTAAAGAAACACTTTTCCTCATTATATGTATCCTTTTACTAAAGTTTCAAAGTGCATAAAACAAGCAGAGAAGAAAATATTATTTTAACCTAATATATTCAAGAAATAATTTGTGGTATGAATAGCTCCTCTTCTTGGTAATTTATTAAAGGAAAGGAGTTGGGGGAGTGATTTAGGAGACGAGTTAACATTTTAAAGTCAGTGGTTCCCAACATTAAACAGAACTCTGAAAATGGGTTCCCATGGAAACATTGTTCTACGGGGTTAAAAACAATTTCACTTCAGGTGCGGAATAGACAGGCTCCTGTGGGCTGGCCCGGCACTCCATCCACAGTTATTTTATGAGAAAATGTGTTCCAAGTTCTGAACTACTGACTTACAAATGAACTTTGGAATGGTATTCACTTATAAGGCTTGAATTATCTATACCATTTCCTTCATACACAATGGCCCCTCTCTGCCCAGACTGAGATCGATGCATACATTTCTCACTAGAGGGTAGCTGCCGTCACACACACACACACACACGGTCTCTCTTATTCTCACTCTCTGTACTAAATTTTTAAAAGTTGTTTAATAAAATAAGACACTGAAGGGATTATTCAAAAGGAAAGGGTCCATGAAGACAGCAAGTGTTTGCATGCCTATAAAATCCCATTACATCTGCCTTCCAGGAACAAATACCTCGGAGTTCATCGCCCCCGCAGAAAAGCAGGGGCAGCTGCTGCAGGCCAAATGCTGGACCTTTGCAGGGCATATAATGCAAACCCAGGGTGACATCATTTCATCTGTGCTCCAAAACCAGATCTCGATTTCTTGGACTAGCTTAGACAATATCTTGGAAAACGGAGACTGGGTACAATCTGAAAGATAGGGAACTCTTTTCCAGAAGACATGGGGTGTGACTTCCCTCTTTGTTAATGTTCTGACGCTAATTTTCAGAACATTGCTCCCAGGACAATAAAGGTCAAAGCGCCACAGGCATATCACAGACATAAGAATTCAAAATTATTTCATTCTTGTTGGAAAAGGCAGTAGGAACCCAAAAGATCAAGAAAGAAAACACTTTTACTGTTTTATTTATATTGAAGCTACTAATTGGAAATAACATCTACTCCATGCTAATTGTTGTATTTCATTATATTAGTTAACACATTTGGACCTAAAACCAGTGAGTGGGTATGATTGGCTATATCGTGGATGAGAAAACTGAGGCAACCAGAGCATCGCTTCCAGAATAAAATAGAATAGAGTAGAAGGCACCTGGGCTTGAATTTACGCCCTCCTGAACCCAAGAGCCATCCTGGTGAGGCAGTGGTTATTTATAGAATCTCCAGCAAAGCCTTGGAAACATATAGTTGCAATAGCCTTCTTCTGAAATTTCTGGCGTAGAGTCTAGAAAACTTTTTTTTTTTTTTAATAATAGTAAAGTGCCACCGGAGATTCTGCAGCACAGACAGGGTTTTTGTCCAAACTATCACATCATTTTCCTAAGTTCCTGAGAATTTTAGTCCCCTAAGACACTTAAAAAGAAAGTGAGGAAGGCAGGGAGGAAGGAGGGAAGGAAGGAAGGAAGGAAGGAAGGAAGGAAGGAAGGAAGGAAGGAAGGAAAAGAAAAAGAGAAAAGAAAGAGAGAGAGAGAAAGAAACTACCATGCTTAAACAAATATGTTCAATGCTGGCCTTTTGTCCCCCTCTAGGGATTTACAATGATTAGTCACATTTTCAAGACTGGGTATTCTTTCCATTAAAAAAGAAAAAAGAAGAATCTGTTTAACTGGCTTTCATGTAGTGCTTCCCAGTCTCAGCTGGTAGGGAACTCTTTCTGAGAGCAGGTGGCTCTCCTGTGCGTCCCACAGCTGGGCTCACATCTGTCGGGACTCTTTTCAGCAGCTATTAAGATGATCAAAATCTTGACAAGTATGCAAAGGGTGAAGGACACAGAGAGCCTGTGCCCATGGGCTCTAGATTGCTTTGGCCTCTTGATCAAAAACAGAATTTCTTTCCAGTGTTTTAAACTTCCCTTTCCCATTGCTGTCCTCCCTGCGATTCCAAGTCTGACTCTGTCTATAAAGCAGTGCAGCTCTAAGAAAGAAAACTCACCCAAAGAAAACACAGTCAATTTGGAAAAGGTCTAGGGGCCACAGGGATTCCTCCTAGGCCTCCCTAAGGTAGGGTCAGCCCATCTTCGTTCAAGGGAAAATGTTCACTTATTCATTTTGAAGCAGGTCTCTTTGCTGTTTCTTCATTCATTTTGATGGCTATTCATTGGGGACCTACAATTAATGCTGCCTACTGAGCACCACACAGCACACTAGGTATGTGTGCATCTTCTAATGCTTTCAGCAACACTATCAGGAAAGTATTACCACCCCATTTTACAGGAAGCAACAAGTATTCAAGAAGAATGTGGACGAATACGTCTT